TGAGGACAGGACAGATCCCCACCTGAAAGAGCAAGTTAGCTCTGTCGTTCATGATCTATTCTACAAATTCTTACCAAAATCCGAGAGCCAAAATGAAATAGTCAATGGTTTGCGTGAAAGAAAACCAGAGCATATTGTGGAGTAGTGGGCCGACGCACAAGTGGATGGCATAGTCCAGTTCAGCGGCGTATCTTTGTAGAACACGGTTCTCAATGGCGAGCGAAGATGCCGTCCTGATAGAAGTAATCGCTTCTGAAGCCACAGATGCGCTATTTGAAAAGCGTTTTGATGTATCGCGATCCATCTTGGCGTCGAGACGAGTGCGAGCATATCCAGCCACAACCATGGGTGGAAGCCCAGCAAAGACACCGACTAAGCCCAGTTTCCAAGACACCACAATACCAAGGATACTACAGGCTATCACACTGAACACGGCCACGAGAACAATCATAATGTTCATGCCCATGAGTTCGAGAACTGCTTGCGGGTAAGAATCGAGCCGGCTGGCTAACGCACCAACGGTATTCTCGGGTCGATCGAAGAACTGAAGATCTTGACGCAACATGCCGTCAAATAAGTCGCGACGAAACTTCTGATTCAGCGTCTGAGTAGAGAATCAGCCTCGAGTAACAGTAAGGAAGAACATATGGCTGTACTTGCCTGGCAAACAATGCTGCTCACCCAGCCGAGAATGAAGTAGACAATTCCGACACCAATGGCCACGACAAAGAACATGAGAGAGAAAAAGTCACCACGACTCCTCAGATCTGAGCCTGTTAGACTGAATACGTCAACTGTTTTACCAAAGAGGAGAGCCTGAGCCGGGAATAGAAGAGCTATAAATGTCAGGTATTCGCTCCGCAATAAGATTGTGATTCAGCTGGCTTACCACCAATGGCACAAGCCACAAGTAAAATCAGGTACGCTGTATTTAACTCTGGTGTAGCTTTAGCAGTCTTGAGAACGGCACTGATGACCCCAAACTGGTTGTGGTTGTCGTAGTTATCGTGTTCCTTTCGAGTTAAAAGGCCATTTTGCTCGGTCGTGGAACACCTTGTCACTGTACGGATTATATCCTCTTTGAGTTCAACCTCATTATCCTTAGGATCAGGATCAACGTCTGAGTCTTCGTTGCTGCTACCAAAAGTTGGCGAAAGATTCTGAGCTTTGACGAGCCGCGCGTACGCGCCATCTCGTGCAAGAAGTGACTCGTGCGTGCCTTGCTCGACGATGTCACCTTTGGACATCACGACGATGTTGTCCGCGCCGCGAATGGTTGCTAACTTGTGAGCAATGACGATGGTCGTTCGGTCACGGGATGCGTTGTCCAAAGCTTGCTGCACAATGCCCTCAGCATGTGGATCTAAGGCACTTGTCGCTTCATCAAGAAGAAGAATCTTGGGCTCTGAGATAATGCTCCGTGCAATGGCAACACGTTGCTTCTGGCCACCTGATAGGAGACCACCTCTTTCGCCTATTCTGGTTTGATAACCATCGGGTAGTTGAGTGATAAAGTCGTGAGCAAATGCTAGCTTGGCAGCCGATTCCACAAGCTGCATTTGTTCACCTTCCGGCGCGTTTTCCATATTGGTACCGATAAGGCCATTTGCAATGTTATCAAAGACAGTACCATTGAATAGCACGGGTTCCTTATCAGAGTAAGCTACCAATCGAAGCCAGGCTTTCAGGAGTTTGGAGTCATTTACCTGCTGAACGAGTCGGATATTTGTGCGGAGCCAGTGCAGATTCACATCCTGAATCGGTTTCCCATCTAATTTGATCGCACCTCCAGTTGGAGAATACCACCGCTCAATTAAACCAACAATGGTGCTTTTCCCGGAACCGCTTGCACCCTATGACACGAAATGAGTTAGGACCGCCATTTCTGCACCATATGTTCTGTAGTGCAGCTTACCACGAGAGCCGTCACTTTGCCTGCGGGTACATGTAACGAAAATCCACTCAGGACCTTGCTCCCAGGCCTCGTGGGGTAGCTGAAATGGACGTTTTCGAGATCAAGTGTTCCGGTGATACTTGTGGGCTTGTCACCAGACTCGTCAAAAGGGTCGATCTCTGACTGCCTATCGATTAAGACAAACAGCTGGGAAGCTGCTGATGCAGCGCGACTGAAAGACACGGAGTACGGTGCGACCATGGAAAATGAGCTCGCAGCTACGACAACAGACATGAGAACTCTGCAAATTTATTAGCTTATTCAGAATTTTCGTTCAGAGAGAATACA